CAACTCTACAATTGTGTGCAACGTCCATGTGACTCGTTTAAAAAATTTACAGTAACAAGGCACTGGTCTCAAATTGTTCAATTTCTGGAAACACCATTTAAATTGCCACAAATTAGACCTAAACCGGTGGGGGTCCAAGAAGAAGTTCAAGTGATGCAGCCAGAGCAGGAAGTTGTAGTTGAAGAAGGAACTAAGAAATTAAAAACTGACTGTTCAAAGTGTGCGCTAAAAAGAAAATCTGCAACTATTTTGGTCCAGACAAACAAAAAGTTAAAAATGCAAGTCAAGGAATTAAAAATGGAACTTGCAGCCAACAAAGTTTATAAAATTAAACACTTGAATCAAAAAATAAAAAGACTAACAGCACAACTAGAGCGACAGAAACAAATCATTGCCCAATTTAAAACAGCACATATAAAACCTACAGCCCAAGTGGCCCCACCCGAATCGTCCCCCACCCAAAGTTCCCCTTCAAACACCTCGCCATCCAAGTCCTCTTCTTCAAAAGTTTGTACACCAACTGTTATCAGTATTGATAGACAAAGGAAATTGAAAATCAAAAGCTTAAACCAGGCTAAAAGAAGAAACATTGAGACCATAAATTCTTTGAAAGAGAAATTAGAAGAAAAAGAATGGCATTATTTCACAGTTATAAAGCAAAGAATGAAACAAACCAACGAGATGTACGATTATTTATTGTTAGAACTTGATGAGTGTCAGGCAGATATTAGAAACAACATGAAAGAAAATAACATTGAAGAAAGGAATGTCATATAGTACTTTTGTATGCTGTTTGAAAAACACAAACCTTCTGGTTCATGTATATTTATTTTTAATTTTGTCTTCATTAACTTCAATGACATGTTATTTTATTGTCTTGTATGTGTAAAAATGGGCATATAACATTGGCATTTTTAAGGAATTTACTTGTAACTTTTGGTCTGTGTTGTGATGTACAGAAATGCTGGTTCATATATATATATATATATATATACATATATATATATATATATACATATATATATTATATACATTTATATATATATACATATATATATATATACATATATATATATATACATATATATATATATATATATATATATATATATATATATATATGATTTAACAATTTCATAAACATGAACCTTTGTTACGATGTCATTTTCTTTTGTTTGTGTAAATATGTACATACATAGGCCAATTTCATAATTGTAACATTTTACTTGTTTGTTATGGTGCCTGTATTGTGTTGTGTAACTACACCATTGCCTGGTCCCCCAGTCTATGCTAGAAAAGGAGTAGGGGCAATCATAACTGTTTATATCTAATCTGATATAGTGACTGTTGTGTCACTGTACCTAATAAAAATTTTCAGTTAAATTAATGAGCTTTAGAACATAGCTTGATTACAGATTTTTAGTTTCTAAAGAAAAGGAAAAATTCATTGAATATGCCACAGACTCCCATTGTAAACTGTCTAGATAATAAGTGTGCACAGTCTAATTAATTAAAATACATAAATAGCGATGATTTTTTAATTGTTACTAAAAGACAAATTTGTGTACTACCATTATCTGCCACCTCTATTTATTAATTTTTTTTTTTTTAAATTTTTAAAAATTATTTATCAATCTTGGTTACTTTTAGCTATCAACATTCATTTCTAAGATGTATAACTATGCATGTAGAGTTGTATTGAAAAATGTTAAAAATAATCCAGATATCCACTCATGAAATCAGATCATAGTACTACTAGTAGTAGTAGTTTTTTCTTCAGTAGCTGTACCACTCTAAAACTTTGCATTGAAGTTTTTTAAAAATTTATAATGACTTTCCACATATAGTTAATGTATGCTAAATTGACTTAGTTTACCATTGTGCTAAATCTAGCTATTATTGATAGTTTATTTTATTTTTTTAAATATCATGGAAATGCCCTACTTAATCTTGAATTCTTGAGATTCTAGTCACAATTAAACCATACAAATTACAACTGAGATATCTAAAAATAATTTTTTAAACATTTTTAAATTTTTTTCCTAGGGAGAAAATCATTCATGTTTCTAAATCAATTGTTGAAGGCTTGAATCCACAGGGTAATTATTAGATGTAGTTTTCGAGACTACAGTATAATAAAATTGTTAAAATTTATTTTATAATTAGTAATGCAATTTAAATTCTATTGAGATTACCTTCACAAACATAAAATGCTATTTCTAATCCTATTACATGTAGACCTAAATGACTAACTCTAGTACAAAAAGCCTCGGAAAGAAATTTTCTTGTGTAAAATCTGAAATTCTAAAAAAAAACCACCAATCTGATAAACATTAGGATCTGTAATGGGGAGTTTTTTTCTAATTAAAGTTAAACATAATTAAATAAAAAATTTTCCAACCTAAAGCCAACTGTGGACACTTCCAAATGTAAGTCTGTTAGGTTGTTAATAGAAATCTGTTTAGGGAGTGAGTCTGGGGCTTAGTTTAGAAACATAGTGGGTAGATAAGCCTGTGGGCTTAACTGTGTACAGCTATTTTTTTTTAAATCATCTTAGTAGCTGTAATGTTACTTATTGTTACTTGATACACATTTTTTTTCCTTATGCTTATGTTTCACAACAACATCATTGCTTTTTTTTTTTTGTTTATTACATAATAACTGTTTTCTCAATAATACATGCTCTTGAAAAATTGCTATTTTCATTTTTGTTTTTTTATGTGTAGAATGGATGGATAAGATCACTTGGCTTTGGTGGTTAAACATGAATTAAATAAGGAAATAAAAGTCAAATGATGGGACTCAGCTTTTATCAAGCTAACAACTATTGATGAGGAATTTAAATCAGATCTAACAACACTTTCAAATTTTTGTGAATATATAGCCAGATGTTTCAACTTTTGTTGATAGAAGACCTGATTTATCAACACTGTCAAGTCTCATTTAAAAATTCAGGCTAAAAAAAGCATAGAAGTGATGTGTTAAAACATTTTTTAAAAGGTAAATTATCTAAGCATAAAAACTGTCATACTGGGGAGAAATGTTATGAATGTGATATTTGTTATAAAATCATTTTCTTAAAAGTATTATTCATCTATCCACAAAATTAGACATTCTTCTAAATTGCTATTTGAATGCGGTGTTTTTCTTGAATCATTTTCTCAGAAGTATGAATTATCTAATCATAAATTACATCATAGGCTTTCTGAGGAAAAACAACATGAGAGTGGATTTGTGACATGTCATAAAATGTTTAATTTGAATTTATCAAAACATAAAAATTCATACCCAGGATAAAAAATATGAATCTGATATATGCCATCAAAAGTTTGCTATGAGGAATAGATTATCTAGATTATCAGATTATTAATAATAGGGAAAAATACATGAATGTGATTTAGTCATGAGTTTTCACGAAATTCATATTTATCCCTTCATCTAAAATGTCACCCTGAAAAGCCATATGAATGTGACATTTATCAGAAAAAAAATTCTAAAAAGCTATATTTATTTCTTCATAAAAGATATCATTTTTTATGAAAAGCCATTTGAATGTGATGTTTGACTTAGAGGTGCTCTGTGAAGAACCTTTTAACAAAACATATGGGAATTCATAAGAATGTGAAGCATGTCAATCATAAAATGTTTTCTTAAAAGCAGCATTTATCTTCTCATAAAGAAACTCATTCTACAGAACTATTAAACTAATGTGATGTTTGTAATAATAAAAAAAAATAATTTACCCAATATGAATAAGTCCTACTTATTTATGCATGAAAAATACTCATCCTGTAGAAAAGTCCTCAAGACATCAAAAATTTCATAAAAGAATATGTGGGAATTTATAGAATTACCAAACTATGAGGCCCATATTTAATTATAAAAAATAAGGGCTATACATTTTTTAATCGTTCTGGTGTGAATTTTCTTTAAATGAGAGCTGACAATCTATGTCCTTGTTTTAAACTTTTAAGGCCCAAATTAAATTCACTTTTCATTTTAAAAAAAAAATCTGTATTAAATTGGGTATTATAAGAGTACATAAACCTATAAATGTGCTGACTTAATGAGTTTTGTAGGCAGTTCGCTGTACAGCTCAAAATTAATTTTGGTTTTCATAAACCCATGATATGCGCTATACCACTTTTTACCACTCTCCCTAATATATTCCATTTTGTTCAACCAAGCAAATATAAAGACAGATTTGAAGTAAGCCCATTAGGTTCAATTGTTATAATGATATGATAGTCTATTTATTCATAGTATTTTTATGAATTTTTTCAGGAAACATCATCTATAATGTTGTATACCTCTTTAGTTATTCTAATGATGACAATGTTATAGCTACCATAATCTAATCAGACAACTAACCTAGGATTAGGATGTTTTTTGTTAGATATTCTATGGTTGTTTTAACAGTATTTTATCTTTTCCCCTGCTGATGAAACATCGGGCAGATGAATTAGAGTTTGTTTTAGTGACCTTGACATACATGGAGATAGTGTAGTCATCACAATACCCATCTTGACGTGTATCTATAATGCGAATCAGGCATCCTTCAGAGCTGGGTGGACTCAGGGATGTTCTACAGACTTGAGCCTTGGATCCGAACTCGGGACTTTCAGGTTGGCAATTTACTGCTCTGCCGTGTGGTCCCAACAGTATGTGATGATCTGATACAACAGTTCACGATTGCTAACACGTCTCAAGTTTAAATCCTCAGAGTCCAACCCAGCTCTGATAAGTACTTGACTTGCATTAGGGAATGTAAAGATTAGCTGGCCACAGTGCTGACCTCATCATTCCTTCAATAGTAGAGGTCACATAAACAGATGAACTCTGCTTCATCTTCCTCCTTGACAGCCAGGTGTAAATATATATTTTTATAACAATTTATATTTAGGTTCACTGATCTGATTATAATTATATGCATAGGGTTTGTAATATTTTATTCTTTATTTTGCCATATTTGTGAAGAAAGAATTAAACATAAAAAACTGTATAAAGTCATTCACGTAATTTAATTAGAAAAAATAATGTTCATACATACTAATTTCGATCAATACATAGTAAATTGAATAAAACTTCATAAATTAAGACATTAAACAAGACCACAGCTATCATACCATCTGTTTAAATGGGACAATATATAGGAGACATATAGTTCATTTCAATTACAAGTTCAATTCTAAAAGAAAATATTTGATTACATGATAGCCCATTACAATAAATAAATTTAAAAACAACTCAATATCCTGCAGCTTTCTCTCCTATTTAGCAAATGTGTACCCTGAATGAAGAATTAAAAGTCTTCATAGAAATCAGGGGACATTATTATTGTGTAGATATATTAGAATTTATTGTTTGTAACATTGATTTTTCAATGAATTAAATTTAAAATAAAAAAATTACATCAGTATTTGTTTTTCATACTGACATGTTACATTTAATCTTCTTTTCTTCTTGTGCTAGAGGGGATGTTCTACAACACAATTAAGTATTGTGTTTCAACATGTTAAGCGCCATATTATACTGCCTAGTAACTCCGATTTCAGTTTGCTTTTCTTTAAAGATCTGCTTTGTTCATCAAAGGAATTACTACAAGGCGGAAATTGTTTGATGTTGTTGTTTTCACTTTTATATGCGTTGCTGTTCCCGGGGTTCAAACTCGAAACTTTTCAATTTGGACACCTTAGTTTTATCGACCTTTATTTCCTCTTGTCTTTTATAGGTTGTGAATGTACTCAGACAGAGCATGCCATATTTGAGCACAAAGATTATTCCATTCTGATGTGTAGGAATTTACTGTACCTATCAGTGCTGATTAATTAATTAGATTTTATTATTAGATCTCTTTCACCTTACAATTGAAAAAAGTAATTCATACAAAAATATAAAAATATAGAAAAACCAGTATCCGCCCCCAACCCCCCCCCCCCCCTTATACACAACACCCACACCCTCCTTCGGACAGTTTTAAATGCCGTTTCCCGGAGATAAATATCTAAAAGAAAAACCGGGTAGCCTTTTACAGAGGCGTAGCAACCCTTCCCGGCGCTCGGGGACAAACTTTTCGATTTGCACCTCCCCCCACCCCTCAAGATTACGATTTGTACATCCCCCTCAAACTTTCGATTTGCACCCCCCCCCCCCCCCCTCAAAGATTTCGATTGGCACCACCACCATCCCCCTCAAACTTTTGATCTGCAAACCCCCCCTCAAAGTTTCAATCTGCACCCCCCTCAACCTTTCAACTTATTTTTCCAACCCATTTTGGCGCCCCCTAAGGATGGCGCCCGGGGACATATGCACAGGTAGTAAATAGAAAAATAATGACACCCCTCCCCCCACGAGAGTTGGTTGTTTTAAATTTTCTTATATCTTAATATTTTAATTTCATTCATGACAGACGACATAGGTTAAGATTTAGTTCAATAAACATTATTATCGTTGCTAAACGGTGTATGGATTAAAAACGGATTGGGACGCTGTGCCCGAATAGTAGATCGCTTTGGCTGCTTTCTCGAATGTCCCTAGTTCGTAACTTGGTTTCGACTGTCACACGTCCCTAAGTCCACCCAGCTCTGATGGGTACGAACTTAGGCCTACCTTAAGGAAAGTAAAGGCGGCTGGGCATATGAACTCTACTTCATCTAGTCAATGGATAGCTAGGTATGGATATGAATTTTACTTTACTTTAAAGTGGATAATATTAAAAGTGGATAGTAGGCCCTATTTAAATTTATTTGCAATTAAATACGCAATATTGTACGAGCAACTTACACTAGCTGCTAGCATTGATATTTCCCTATGTCTATGTCATCACATCATGACAAATTGGATTGTCATCTGATCGTCTTCTTGATAATTTTCACCTATGACAGATGGATAACAAAGGAATCAAATTAAATAAAACGTTTTAAAAACGTTTAAAATAATATTTTCATTCTTTTATTAAAAAAAAAAAACTTAGAAAATAATATAATTACGAAACATCTAGATTCTAGGCTCTGTTTATAATTAATAATTATATTAAAATTTATAAAAATGCGACATTTCCTTTTAGCCGGATGTAGTAAATTATGAAATATTTCTCAGACCTGTTTATATTTTCAAAAAGCTAGCTAGATCTATGAATATCCCAGTAGATTCGTAAGTAGACAGTCAATATACTTCAATATAGGCCTAAGGACCAATTGTTTTAGTTACGTATTACAGGTCTATTATAGTTTAGAGTCGCTAAGTTTTGCTTGGGGAGGTTTTTCGAGTCGGGAAGTCTCGTTCTCGCGGTTTTGAAGCACCCGTGTTTTGGGCGGATATATAAAATATCGAATCTTTTCTTTCTCATGAAGTACATAATAATAACAGTTAAAAATAAGGATTGTATCGTAATCGGAAAGATTTGTACTCGAAACTGCCCATGTACTTACAGGGCGAATAATTAACATTTTAATAACGAAGTGACTACTCGGAAGAAGATTTTTCTCCCCAACGTCTCCACTTAGTCGGCAAAAGATAGCTCTGAGCATGCGCAGTGACCTATGGCTAGGGTTAGAATGAGGGTTAGGGATAGGATTAGGGTTGGTGTTAGGGCTCTGCAGTACCCATGCGCAGTACCATCGAAAATATCGCCGAAGGCAAGTCGTAGTATCTCTCCATTGCGCATGCGTATCGCATGCGTATCTTATTCCGGCTAGCATCGGCCTTTTAATAATGCTAGCTTGACCTAATTTCTTCCTTTGTCTTTCACGAGGCTGTCGAGAGAAAGTCACGCTTATTTAGCTTGTGTTTCAAGTCGAATTAACTAAAGCAGGTGCGTTATTCAATAACTTTTTTATTAGATCCAATTTTTATAACATCTTTACTATCAAATAAAAATAGAATTGTTTAATGAAATTAGGGTGAAAACAAATACATTTGAGGGTGTAAGTGGCCAACCCTTTTTTTTTAAAGACGCTATTTTTTATGAATTTATAATAATCTAATTGCCGATTCCGGAAAAGGTAAAGGGGTGGGGTGGGCTCTGACGAATTGTTAGCATAAAAAAACACTTCACTTGAGAAAAAACTTCTTTCGCGCTTACAGCTTACAATATGAAATAAAGTGTTGATAATTTAGCCCCGGAGAGGCGGATAGGTTTTATTTACTCATTTAAAAACTGTATTGTTATGATAAGATAATAGATATCAATAGAGTTTTGTTTAATGTTAGTAATCGCGTGTGGTGACTCGTGTGTTCTGTACTTTGGTTGGGTAGCAGATGCCGATGGCCGCTTACAATTACATCAATAATACCTTTTTTTTTAAACAGACTAGTCATCAATTAATTACATACCACCTCAAACAGTTATTATATTATTTTATTAGTACTTGTGGAGTGATCCATACCTTTTTATTAATAACTTTTTAGGGGCCTAATAAGGCAATGTTTCAGGTTTCTGAATTAGTGATTTTTGTGGGGGGGGGGGGGGGGGGGGGGGACTACAATGTTAGATTTTTTGGGTGGTGGTTTTGTGACATTATTGGTGGTTGGTGAGTATAATTAGGCTAAAATAGCAGGTTGTCTTTTATAGATAATATTCATTATTAAATTTTGTCAATCTTTTTTTTTTCTCAGAATGTCGGATCTTGCAAGTACTTCCTCTGGTTCAGCAGAAGTAACCAACATGGAAACTGAATGTTCAGGTGAGCCTGTACATACTCGTAATGATTTGAAAAACTTGGTCAATACGTACAATAATATTCACCAGGCTGTTGAAATTAAACTTGGGCATGTCATTTATCTTTGGATGAAAAATACAAAAAAAATTGTTACAACTGTAAAAATACTTGAAGAAATTTTTAAAGAAAGACAACCTGAGAGTTTCAGCCATATCACTAAACAACTTTATGTTTATGTGAAACGTCCATGTGACTCGTTTAAAAAATTTAAAGTAACAAGGCACTGGTCTCAAAATGTTGAATTTCTGGAAAGACCATTTAATTTGCCACAAACTAGACCTAAACCGGTGGTGGTCCAAGAAGAAGTTCAAGTGATGCAGCCAGAGCAAGAAGTTGTAGTTGAAGAAGGAACTAAGAAATTAAAAACTGATTGTTCAAAGTGTGCTCTAAAAAGAAAATCTACAACTATTTTGGTCAAGACAAATAAAATGTTAAAAATGCAAGTCAAGGAATTTAAAATGGAACTAGAAACCAACAAAGTTTATAAAATTAAACACTTGAATCAAAAAATAAAAAGACTAACAGCACAACTAGAGCGACAGAAAAAAATCATTGCCCAATTTAAAACAGCACATATAAAGCCTACAGCCCAAGTGACTGAATCGTCCCCCACCCAAAGTTCCCCTTCAAACACCTCACCCTCCAAGTCCTCTTCTTCAAAAGTTTGTACACCAGCTGTTGTCAGTATAGATAGACAAAGGAAATTGAAAATCAAAAGCTTGAACCAGGCTAAAAGAAGAAACATTGAGACCATAAATTTTTTGAAAGAGAAATTGGAAGAAAAGAATGGCATTATTTCACAGTTAAAGCAAAGAATGAAACAAACCAACGAGATGTACGATTATTTATTGTTAGAACTTGATGAGTGTCAGGCAGATATGAGAAACAATATGAAAGAAAATAACATTGAAGAAAGGAATGTCATATAGTACTTTTGTATGCTGTTTGAAAAACACAAACCTTCTGGTTCATGTATATTTATTTTTAATTTTGTCTTCTTTAACTTCAATGGCATGTTATTTTATTATCTTGTATGTGTACATATGGGCATATAACATTGTATTTTTAAGGAATTTACATGTAACTTTTGTTCTGTGTTGTGTTGTACAGAAATGCTGGTTCATATATATATATATATATATATATATATATATATATATATATATATATATATATATATATATATATATATATATATATATATATGTGTGTGTGTGATTTAACTTTTTCAATTTCATAAACATCAACATTAATTACAATGTCATTTTCTTTTGTTTGTGTAAATATGTACATACATTGGCCCATTTCATAATTGTAACATTTTACTTGTTTGTTATGGTGCCTGTATTGTGTTGTGTAACTCCACCATTGCCTAGTACCAAGTCAATGCTGGAAAAGGAGTAGGGGAAATCACAACTGTTTATATCTAATTTGATATAGTGACTGTTGTGTCACTGTACCTAATAAATTATTAAGTTAATTTAATGAGCTTTAGAACATAGCTTGATTACAGATTTTTAGTTTCTAAAGAAAAGGAAAACTTCATTGAATATGCCACAGACTCCCATTGTTAACTGTATAGGTAATAAGTGTGCAGTATAATTAATTAAAATACATAAATAGCAATGATTTTTATAATTATTACTAAAAGGCCAATTTTTGTGCTACCATTATCTGCCACCTCTATTTATTAATTATTTTTTTAAAAATCGTTTATCAATCTTGGTTACTTTTAGCAATCTACATTCATTTCTAAGATGTATAAATATGCATGTAAAGTTGTATTGAAAAATGTTAAAAATAATCCAGATATCCACTCATGAAATCAGATGATAGGACTACTAGTAAAAGTAGTTTTTTCTTCAGTAGCTGTACCACTCTAACCCATTGCATTGAAGTTTTAAAAAATGTATTATGACTTTGCACACATAGTTGATGTATGCTAAATTGACTTGGTTTACCATTGTGCTAAATCTAGCTATTATTGATACTTATTTTATTTTTTTAAAATATCATGGAAACGCTTCTTAATCTTGAATCCCTGAGATTCTAGTCACAATTAAGCCATACAAATTACAACAGAAATATAAAAATATTTTTTTTTTTAATTTTAATTTTTTTCCTAGGGAGAAAATCATTTATGTAAATTCTTGTTTCTAAATCAATTATTGAAAGCTTGAATCAACAGGGTAATTTTTAGATGTATATTTCTAGACTACAGTATAATAAAATTGTTAAAATTAATTTTATAATTAGTAATGCAATTTAAATTCTATTGAGATTACCTTCACAAACATTTAATGTTATTTCTAATCCTATTACATGTAGACCTAAATGACTAACTCTTGTATAAAAAGCCTGGGAAATAAATTTTCTTGTGTAAAATCTGAAATTCTAAAAAAAAACCCCACCAATCTGATAAAAAATTAGGATCTGTAATGGGAGTTATTTTCTAATTAAAGTTAAACATAATTAAATAAAGATTTTTCCAACCTTAAGTCAACTGTGGACACTTCCAAATGTAAGTCTGTTTTTTATGTGTAGAATGGATGGATAAGATCACTTGGCTTTGGTGGTTAAACATGAATTAAATAAGGATATAAAATGATATGACTCAGATTTTATCAAGCCAAATATATCAAGCTAACAACTATTGATGAGGAATTTAAATCAGATCTAACAGCACTTTCAAATTTTGTGAATATATAACCAGATGTTTCAACTTTTGTTGGTAGAAGACCTGATTTATCAACACTGTCAAGTCTCATTTAAAAATTCAGGAGAAAAAAAAAAGCATAGAAGAGATGTGTTAAAACATTTTATTTTTTAAAAGGTAAATTATCTAAGCAGGGGAGAAATGTTATGAATGTGATATTTGTTATAAAATCGTTTTCTTAAAAGTATTATTCATCTATCCACAAAATTAGACATTCTTCTAAATTGCTATTTGAATGTGGTGTTTGTCTTGAATCATTTATCTAATCATTATCTAATCATACATTATATCATAGGCCTTCTGAGGAAAAACAACAAAAGTGTGGAATTGTGACATGTCATAAAATGTTTAATTTTAAGTCCAATTTATCAAAACATAAAAATTCATACCCAGGATAAAAAATATGAATCTGATATATGCCATAAAAAGTTTGCTATGAAGAATAGATTATCTAGATTATCAAATTATTCATAATAGGGAAAAATACATGAATGTGATTTTAGTCATGAGTTTTTACGAAAGTCATATTTATCTCTTCATCTAAAATGTCACCCTGAAAAGCTGTATGAATGTAACATTAATCAGAAAAAATTCTAAAAAGTCATATTTATTTTTTCATAAAAGATATCATTTTGCTGAAAAGCCATTTGAATGTAGTTAAAGAAGGTACTAAGAAATTAAAAAAAAACTGCTGAAAAGCCATTTCAATGTTATGTTTGTCACAGAAGGTTTCTATGAAGAACCTTTTAACAAAACATATAGGGATTCATAAGAATGTGATGTATGTCTTAAAATACTTAAGTTTTCTCAAAAGCAGCATTTATCTTCTCATAATGAAACTCATTCTACAGATCTATTAAACTAATGTGATGTTTATAAAAAAAAATGTGTCAAAATGAATAAGTCCTACTTATTAAGGCATAAAAAATTACCCTGTAGAAAAGTCATCAAGACATCAAAAAGTTCATAAAAGAATATGTGGGAATTTATAGTATTACAAAACTATGAGGCCCATACTTAATTAAAGAAAATAAGGGCTATATATTTTTTACTCGCTCTGGTGTGAATTTTCTTTAAATGAGAGCTGACAATCTATGTCCTTGTCTTAAACTTTTTAGGCCCCAAATTAAATTCACTTTTCATTTTTTTTAATCTGTATTCAATTTGGTATTATAAAAGTACATAAACCTATAAATGTAGGCAGTTCGCTGTACAGCTCAAAACTAATTTTGGTTTTCATAAACCCATGATATGGGCTATACCACTTTTTACCACTCTCCCTTATATATTCCATTTTGTTCGACCAAGCAAATATAATGACAGATTTCAAGAAAGCCCATTAGGTTGCAATTGTTATAATGATATGATAGTCTATTTATTCGTAGTATTTTTATGAATTTTTTTCAGGAAACATCATCTATAATGTTGTATAAGGTTGTATACCTCTTTAGTTATTCTAATGATGACAATGTTATAGCTACCATAATCTAATCAGACAACTAACCTAGGATTAGGATGTTTTTTGTTAGATATTCTATGGTTATTTTAACAGTATTTTATCATCTTTTCCCCTGCATGCTGATGAAACATCGGGCAGACGAATTAGAGTTTGTTTTTAGTGACCTTGACATACATGGAGATAGTGTAGTCATCACAATACCCATCTTGCCGTGTATCTATAATGCAAATCAGGCACCCTTCAGAGCTGGGTGGACTCAGGGATGTTCTACAGACTTGAGCCTTGGATACGAACTCGGGACTTTCAGGTTGGCAATTTACTGCTCTGCCGTGTGGTCTCAACAGTAGGTGATGATCTGATAAAACAGTTTACGATTGCTAACAAACACGTGTCAAGTTTGGATCCTGAGAGTCCAACCCAGCTCTGATAAGTACTTGATTTGGCGTTAGGGAATGTAAAGATAGCTGGCCACATTGCTGAATTCATCCTCCCTTCAATAGTAGAGGTCACATAAACAGATGAACTCTGCTTCATCTTCCTCCTTGTCCATCAGGTGTAAATATATAATTTTATAACAATTTATATTTAGGTCCACTGATCTGATCATAATGGGTGTATAGGTTTTATAATATTTTATTCTTTACCATCCAGAGAATTTTTTTTAAAGAAACACTATACCTTATCGGATTCAACCACAAAATGCATGCACTAAAGTCTGGGTTTCTATCTTTCTTGTTAATACTTCACAAACATGATTTAGATACAGACAGAAATTTGTCCTGTCATATAAATATGGTTCCATGACAAATGATCTCAGGACAAATTATCTCCGACAAAATATCTCAGACAAAATATCTCACGGACAAATGATCTCAGGACAAATTATCTCAAGTACAATTGATCTCACGAACAAAAGATACAAGGACAAAATATATCAGGACAAATGATACCAGGGACAAATGATCTCAGACAAAATATCTCACAGCAAAATGTTGATAGTGTGAAGGGTGATTTGTCCTGAGATCATTTGTCCTGTGATGCATATAATATATATATATATATATATATATATATATATATATATATATAAAATGTATATATATATATATATATATATATATATATATATATATATATATATATATATATATACATACATATATACATACATATATACATATATATATAATTATATATATATATACATATATATATAATTATATATATATATATATATATATATAATTATATATATATATATATATATATATATATATATATATATATATATATATATATATATATATAATTATATATATATATATATATATATATATATATATATATATATATATATATATATATATATATATATATATATATATATATAAAATAAAATGCTTACACACAGATATTTAATATTGTTTTTTATTTTAATTTAATTTTTTTATAAATTTATTTATTTGCTTATTTGTTTGTTTGTTTGTTTATTTATTTATACATACATAATTATATTGTAGACCATTCGCAACATTAGTTTAAAAACACAAATCTTTTATTTACAATATTTGTTTAAGAATAAACTTTAAGTCATCTAAAGTAAATGTAAATGTATCTACAGTTTACAAAGTGGTTAAATGTCCACCAGAAACGTTTGTACAGTACGGTGTTTAGCCAACTTTGGCGGTAACCATCTTTAACGGAGGACGTGTGTTACAGTCTGTTGAATTGAGTGGGCGTGGTAGTAAAATTGATGCTTGCTTTGTGGAGGCGATGTGTGGGTGGTGTATGACGAGGCTTTGTGTTGACGGTTGAGGAAGATGTGTGCGGAGATAGTCCGATCGTGGACTACGTTAGAGCCGATCAACACATATACTACTTATCAGAATTTCTTCTAAGCATTTTTATAGAAAATAATTTTCTTTTACAATTGTCCGAACATTCCCCCCCCCCACCCCGAGAGTGTTAAGTGCCCCCCCCCCCCCTATCGGAAAAAATGGCTGGAAGAAACACTGTTACTTGTTGAGGTCCCCGAAGACCGGACATCTCAACACAGAGGTCTTTAAGTTGGTGGACCAAGTTAGCGCATCTGTTTTAAGTTAACACAACCTTGCTGACCTGGATCGAAATGTGAAAACGACTTTTTCCGCTTCGTGATTTACATTTTAATATTTCTAAATCTGTCGTAAATCCCTCTTTCAAGTCATCGATTTTGAAAATAAAATACTATTATTATGTCATTAAGTTCCTTCCACGAGATAAAGGTTCCGAATGTATTGCTAGGCTGCTCTTTTCTTTATATTCTGTTGAGATTTGTGTGGGGGGACAAATCCACCCTTTAGATGGCCCAGACAACACATATATCCTCCTACTGGCCAATGAATTGGCCCAAATTGTTTTGATATTCTTTTGTAATGGCCGATATAAGGGTAACCCTAACTCTAGTTATAAACTGGCCGTTGTTCATCTTGTTATTAATTGTAAAATTTGAGGGGATTTTCTCAAACAAAACAACGTATTACGTGTCAACATTAAATAAGCCGTATGGTCCATCGACTTGTTTTTTACTCTGCATTTCTTTTTGGGCCACCCAACCAGTGGCCTCTGTTGAAAGAGGAGAAAACTTAGGGTAACTAAACAGTGGCCTCTGTCAAAAAAGAAGAAGAGTTTGGCCAACTAAACAGTGGTATCGTTGGAAATAAAAAAAATAAAATGGCCACCCAATTAGTGGCCTCTGTTGAAAAAAGGGAGAAAAATTGGCCAACCCGCCAGTGGCCTCTGTTTAAAAGGAGAAAACTTTGGCCAGCTAATCAGTGTCCTCTGTTGAAAAGGAGAAAACTTTGGCCAAATAAATAATGGCCTCTGTGGAAAGAGCAACTACGCAGGGAAACTTATAAAGTGGTCTCTGTACTGCTATAGTATAAGGGTTCAGTTCGGCCAACTTATCAATGGCCTATGTGTTTTAGTTTGCATCAACAGCTAAGTGTCCTATATGCTGTTAGGGTAAGCCGCATACTCACTGCACGCCAATATTTCCCCAACTATAAACACCGTTTCAACATACTACGCCCACACATAACTTCAGCAATCCACGCACTCAATCTGTCCATTCCTCATTTTGGTAAATCTTGTGCATCGCTCGCTTCGCATTGTGAAACATCTACACAAAACATTCTAGACAGCGACGATTAACGACTCGGTACCCGTTATACCGGCAATTCTGGTGACTTTTAGCTCACTTCTCTTTACAAATAGGCTACCCTTTGTTTTTATACAGATATTTTTTTCCGGGGAGCGGCATTTAAAGGAGAAAGTGGGGGGGGGGGGGGGGTGCAGGGGAAGGGAGAAAAGCGGATACTGGTTTTCCAATATTTTTTAATGTTTTTTTTTTTCAATTTCGTTCGGAGGTTCAAGGGGAAGAAACGGCAGGGATGCATAAAGAAAATGAGTATATTTACGGAAAGTGAGAGATAAAATGAATTGTAATTCAGCTTTAAAAAAAATTCATAATCGGAAACATAGGAAAAGACACATTTTATTGATCAAGAGCATTGGATTAAAACATTGTTAAGATTATGAAAAAGAAGGGATTTTCTTTTATGTACTATCTATGTTTATACTTGTTTAAAATAACATAGACTGCCAATACCTACTAGAAAAATTCAAATCAAATAACATACAGTATTAGTCAACACAAGACCATATTAAATGCACTCAAACAAGATACTTAAAATTAAGAGACTAAAAAGATTTTGTCAAAAACCCATCTGTTCAATTGTAGTTATGCTGTTTTTGTCTTTTAAAAACACCTTTTTCGGCTGAGGATGGGTCTGACCACTATCCCTTTCATATGCCGAAAGACTGGTGAACTCTACTTCACCTGCCCCGTGTCCCGCCTAGTGCGTATAGTCAACTATATAATTCGTATAAAAAACAAATTGAAAAAAAAAATTAAGGTTCACTTTGTGTGTCTCGATCCCGTAACACCCGCATGGTATTATTTACACTACTAGGCATGCTGCCCAGCTTCGCTTAGGCTTTCGAAAACATTGAGAATTTGAATGCTTAATTAATTCGCCCGAGGGTCGGTCTACGACCTCAAGAGTTATGAAGAGGTTCCTCCGTGGACATTTTTTTTCGATTTATAGCTCATATAAGGCACCGGTCAGTCGAGGTCAGTTTTGACCCCATCGTCGTAGACTTTTCGGCCAACCGGCACCGGCCCCCGTGTTCTGTCGCCCCAAGGCAAGATCCTGCCAAATTTGAAGCGCCTGCTGCGCCGGGAAGTGCCCTATCGGACACCCGACAACTTTGCTTTATATATTATAGAGATTAGCAAATTGCATAGATAAACAAAGATTTCAATAAAGTAATTAAGGCCTTAAATACTTTAGTATAGAAATGTATTGTTTGAATAGATTCTAGATCTAGGTAGGGTCTACATCTGTGTAACTTTGTAAGTCTAGTTTTTCCGTAGATCTAGATAATATGCCTATGCTTTCAAATTAATTTTTTTATCCCAAATTAGCCAGTTCCAAACAAAGATTTTGTATAAAATAATTATGTCTTGAAATAGTTTATTCCTAATATAGAAATTTATTTTTGGAATAGATTCTAGAGAAATTAGAGTCTAAATCTAGGTCTTAGCTTCTACGTCTCGATCTAGTTATTGCGTAGATTTGTAGATTTAGATCTAGTTCTAGTCTAGATCTAGAATCTCTAGATCTAGAATCCAAATAAATAAAATAAATTTTATGAGTTTAGGCCGGAAAAATTGTATTGTGTACATTTCATAGTGTGCGTATATCTAAATCAAATTTGAATGAAATAGTTCATTTCTTTTTATTCTAAACACGGCATATGACGTCATTAGTTAATGTATAAACATTAGTGACGTCACAGTTTTATGCGTTCTTTTTCACATCTATAAATGCTTTTCCGGTTGCATAAATAATACTGTTTCTCTACATTCGAATACGCCTTTATTTTTTATTTTTCTTCTTTAAACAAAATTGTGGTTATACATTTAAAACATCTAACTAACATATTATTTTCAAAAAAAGTCCGTATAAAGGTATCCATATATCGCTGCCGATTCTAACGTGATGTCCGGCGAAAATATTTAGCGGACAGAGAGAGAGAGAGAGAAGAGCGCACATGACCTATTATAGATTTAGATCATCTCAGCTATGTAGACACTATGGGACTCATGGGGAATTAAAGAGTTATTTTAAAAACTTAACTTACGCGAATAGGCCCAATTCTTTCAAATTAAATTTTATCCCAAATTAGCCTATTCCATAGCTAAACAAACAAAGATTTCTATAAAATAATTAAGGCCTGAAATAGTTTAGTATAAAAATTTAATATTGGAACAGATACTAGATCTAGATTTTATCTATGTGCACTGTCTAGATCTAAGTCTAAATTTTCCGTAGATCTAGAATCTAGATCTACAATATCTAGATCTAGAATCTAAATAGATAAAGTAAGTGTTATGAATTTAGACCAAGGAAAGTATATTGTATACATTTCATAGCGTACGTTTAATTGATAAGTGGATATAAATAAAATTGGAATGAAATAGTTCATTTCTTGATATTCCAAACTTCGAAGATGACGCCATTAGTTTTGTGTTGTTTCCTTTGACTTAGATTAAACTTCATGTGACGTCATTGTTTCTTGCGTTTTTGTCACGACAATAAAGCTTTAGAAATCGGTCCACCATATTATTTTCAACAAAAGTCCGTATCTTTGAGTTCTCCATATATCGCTGAACAGAATGACGACGTTGCCAAAAATATTGCGGATAGAGAGAAGTGTCATCTGGTGTTAGGGCCTTGTCGTGGCTTGACAGCTTGCGTACCCTGACGACCCCCAGAGCTATACCAGCGGGAGTGTTAACTTCTGGCAGGTTCAACCAAAGTGGGAAGGTCTGCGCGGGTAGGGGTCAGACGAAAGCTAGCACGCTGGTCCTCCAGGTTGGGGGTTTAAAAATGGATCTCCCGAAGGAGAATTCATGAAACCGGGTGAACGGCAATATTTACTGGAAACTACCAGGTCGACCACCATTATTTCCACCAGGTCCACCATCAATATTGGAGCTTGGAATGTCCGCACAATGTACAAAGCTGGAAAAGCAACCCAAGCAGCAGCAGAATTGAGACGCTATAAAATAGCTATCCTGGGTGTCAGCGAATCAAGGTGGACTGGCTCAGGACAAAAAAGGCTGATAACAGGAGAGTTACTGCTGTACTCAGGTCATGAGAATGAAAATGCACCACATACTCAAGGAGTTGCACTCATGCTATCAAACCAAGCACCAAGGGCTCTCATTGGATGGGAGGCACACTGCCCGCGGATCATAACAGCTACCTTTAAAACTAAAATAAGACGAATAAACATGGACATAATACAGGCCTACGCCCCAACAAATGACAGCAAAGAGGACAAAGATGAATTCTACAACAGGCTAATGACCTTTATCCAGAACCGCCCAAGAAGAAACATCCTTATACTCATGGGCGACTTCAATGCCAAGATTGGAAGCGACAACGGAGGATATGAAGAATGTATGGGACAGCAGGGTTTATGTGAGATGAACGAAAACGGAGAAGGATTAGCTGACTTGTGTGCCACAAATAATTTAGTCATTGGAGGTCTCTTTCATTACAAAAGGATACATAAAGCTACTTGGGTATCACCTGACATATCTATAGAAAACCAGATAAAAAAGTTCAGGAGATCACTTCATGATGTACGCGTCAAGAGAGGATCTGATGTTGCTTCAGACCATCACATACTGGACAATACCTGATGCGGGAGGACAATACCTGATACGGAAGGACAATACCTGATGCGGGACGACAATACCTGATGCGGGAGGACAATACCTGATGCGGAAGGACAGATGAAGAGATGGGTAGAACAATTTGAAGAACTACTGAATAGACCAACACCAGAGTGCACGCAAGACATACCACCAGCTGAAAGTGACCTCCCTATAGACTGCAACCCACCTTCAAAAGAAGATATACATAAAGCTATACAGCAGCTGAAAAATTGGAAGGCTCCAGGAATAGATGGTATACTTGCAGAAGCACTGACAGCAGATATAGAAACTAGCACCACACTACTATACACACTCTTCAAGAAAATCTGTGAAGATGAACAAATACCAGAGGAGTTGAAGGAGGGACTACTCATAAAACTCCAAAGAAAGGCGATCTTAGTGCATGCTCTAACTATAGATTGATAACACTTTTGTCCATCACAGGCAAAGTCTTCAACAGAATATTATTAAACAGAATGAAGGAAGCGAAAGATTCCCACCTTCGAGATCAACAGGCGGGCTTTAGGAAGGAAAGGTCATGCATAGACCAAATTGCTACCCTGCGCATCATCATTGAACAGACCCAAGAGTGGAACTCATCTCTCTATATTAATTTCATAGACTATGAGAAGGCCTTTGATAGCCTAGATAGGCAGTCAGTGTGGAAATTGTTGAGACACTACGGGGTGCCACAGAAAATAGTCAACATTATTATGTCTTCATATGAAGGTCTCAAATGTAGAGTAGTGCATGGCCAACAGACTACAGAGGCCTTCCCAGTACGGACCGGAGTAAGGCAGGGTTGCCTACTTTCACCATTCCTGTTCCTGCTGGACATAGACTGGGTTATGAAGATGTCAACAGAGAAAACATGAAACAGTATACAGTGGACACTGTGGAGCCAGTTGGATGACCTGGACTTTGCTGATGACCTGGCGTTTTTTTCTCACACACAACAACAAATGCAGGATAAAACCAACAGGGTTGCAAATTTTTCTACAAGCCTGGGCCTGAACATCCACAGAGGGAAAAGTAAAGTTCTCAAAGTCAATGCATCGAAACGCAACCCTATAACACTGGCAGAAGATGTCCTAAAAGAAGTGGATAGATTCACCTACCTTGGAAGTATTGTTGATAAGCAGGGTGGGACAGAAGCAGACATAAAAATAAGGTGACCTACTAAACTCTACTTCACCTGCCCAGTGTACCGAAGTCACCTTGGGGTAATGAAATATTTCATTCTTGATATAATTATAACCTGCACGCGCGCACGCATCCAGATATAGCATAAGGTACACCAACACACGCACATACACAGACTCAATCAAAAACTCAAACATAGACAGGCATAGACAAGTATATTTTTTTACATAGACACATATACTAACACAAACTGTATTACAGTAAAACTAAAATTGCTATCAATTCTGAAGAAAACTTTATTTTGAACGAAATTTTTCAAGAAAAAAAAAAAGATAATCCGTTAAGAAAGAGCAAAATGTGTGTAATTGTTTAATTTAAAATTTAATTTAAAATTAGAAATTTTAATTTTAAAATGTTTAGAAGTTTCAAATGGAAAGTTAGAGAAATAAATGTAGACATCAGTTAAGGTAGTAACATCTTCAAGAGGACATAATCTCCAATGTCTAATGCCTATGGCGACTCCTGGTAACGTATAATTAAAACATAATTAATTATTTTTTACATGTATTTATGCATCATACATACAGTACATTAAAGTCAATAAACTTCACTCGCCGTCAATAGAACAATGATAAAGTGTCCATTTACGTATTTTATTTCGATATTTTAAAAAGATAGTATGTTCAATTCTTTTCCATTTTCCTAACGTCCTTAAGATGTTCTAAAGAGTTGATTGGACTGTTTGGCGCGTTTTACGTTTCTTTTCAAGATTATTAATTAGTATGGGAAATTGCAAAATTAGACATACCGTGTTATTTTAAGGCTTTGTCGAGACAAAAAAGAAGATAAATTGTAAAGAAAGAACGATGGACTAAGGCCCTGTCTGATTTTACTGTTTTATCATCACAAAGTCGGATATCACTCGGTACGGTAACTATAGGGCTTGTAAGTGGGTCACCATCATCTCGTTCTCCTACTTGCCAGGTATTTATTAACAAAATATTTTTTTTAAATCGATAAAAATATAAATTATAAAAGGTACTCTGCTATAGTTAAGGTATTTAAAATTGTAAATGGGAATTATGGTAAAAAAATAATTTAGTTCGAAAATGTATATATGTATATATATATATATATATATATATATATATATATATATATATATATATATATATATATATGGCTAACGAGATTTCGATTTTTAAACGAGAGAGACCGAGACTTACAAGCCCCTTAGGTGTCAGACCTCCGACAACGACGAATATTGGATGTATTTTAACTTTACACAACTTGGTATCACCCCATCCCGAATGTGTTTTTGTAATGGTGTATAGAAGACTAAAAATGCACACATTCGCTTTGAAACTGGCGATATTCTGTCACCATGACGTCACCATCTTGGACCCTGTCACCCTGTGCTGTCCGCATCCCCGTCCCCCGCCATGTAACGCTACTGTTTTACTCAGTAATTTCTCAAACACCTGAGTAGTTAAAACGTTACAATGACACTGCGCAATAAAAATTGCCATAACTGTCATAATCTATGATTTCAAACAGTTGTTTTTGAATCTCAGAATTTCAACACCAATTTTTCAAAACACCCGATATAAAGTTTGCGTTAACATACAAACTCAACAGTCTACGCACAATTTAAAACTTAAACTTTTGATTTTCGCCTACTTCAGTACATGTAAATAAATATGTTTTATTTATAAATGTGTTAAAGCTATAACAAGGATTTAAAGTAAAGCATTTCGTTTCAACGCAATACACCTTATGAATGTGTAAAAAATAATAGTTCTGTTTCACTAAATAAATTTACATCAGCGTACCTTTTCGAAGTTTCGTCCATTAGCCTTTCTTGCAATGCTTTCCTAGATTAAACGGAGACATTTTAAGGTGTAACAAATATGTTCGTTTATATTAAACAAAATTGTCCCTAACATAATTTCCCTCATGTTAAAAATAATTATTAGTAAACAAGTTGATTGACTCAACGCATTTCAATAAGTATTTAACGGCTCCCGGTCAAAAACCCCCTGGACATAAACCCCCTGTACATAACATAACCCCCCCCCCATAAACCCCCTGGAAAAAAACCCGCGACAAAAACCCCCTGGACCGAGCCCCCCCTCCCCCCCCCCCCCCCGACACAAACCCCCGGATAATAACCACCGGACTGAGGTTTAAATAAAGAAATAATAACGATGATGTGAACCCAAAAAATTTAAAAAGTTACATTTAATTAATTTAATTTTTTACGACTAAGAAAATAGTCTCTACCTAAAAAATGCTATTCGAAATCAAGGAGTGACCTTAGTTGTATTTGATTAAAGATCGGGCACCGACAACACCGTAAATATAGGTCATACATATGGTCATCAAAAGATAGGATGTTTTTGTTTGAAACAAAAGAAAACCTTAGGTTATTGGAGGTTAATCAGCACTGGTTTATGGATGGTACAAATACAGGACTCTGGCCTTCAACAACTCTACCAAGTTGATAGTGAATTTGCTCTCGTGCTAAGAATGCTACCTGCGTTGGCCTTTGTTCCCATTGAACACATGAGTTTTGCATTTGAAAAATTATTGGAAATTTTCCCCCAAGAAGCAATGCCAATTGCAGACTATTTCGAGGACTACTATATTGGCAGGCCACAACGTCGAGGTCGGAGACAGCCTATGTTTCCACTTGATATGTGGAACATGCACACACGTCCAGAAGACCATATGCCAAAAGCAAACAACTCAGTTGAAGGCTGGCACAGAAGTTTTCAGTCGCATATGCGATGCTGCCACCAAAATATTTGGAAATTCAATTGACTTTATTAAAAAGGAACAATCGTTCCTTATTGTACACAGATGAATTCAAGTCACTGTATACTAAAACAGAAAAAAAATATATTGATAGCAGCTGTTAAAAAATTAAATAAGTCCACCATTATTGAGTATCTGCGAGGCATTGCTCACAATCTGTTTGTTTTGAAGTTATAATAAAAAAAAACAGTTTTTTCGTAATGTTTTTTTTTATTTAATTATTAATTTTGGTTCTCATCATCTTTGGTTTTTCCTTCTATAAACCTCAAATGGGGGGGGGGGGGGGGATGTTGTCCAGAGGGTTTATATCGCGGGGAGTTTTTGTCCAAGGGGTTTATATCGCGGGGGTTTATGTCCAGGGGGTTTTTGTCGAGGGGGTTTTTGACCGTATTTAACCTGATTTTCGATGCTATTCAATGGCACTATGTTTTTAATATCAAGTAATTTTTTGTATTATTTGGATCATTTATTAATATCACGTTCAGTGAAACAAAATTATTTTAAGACTTTTTTGCCCGTTATTTGTTTTGATAACAATTTTTTTAAATTGCGATTTTAGCCGCTAATCGTTATGGTAAACGCGTAAACATGATTTAGAAAAAAATAACTTTACTTGTAGTTCTGGCAGATGAAGTGGAGTTTGTAGTGTCCTCTTTTGTAGTAGATGGTTGTGTTGTTGTATCCGGTGGATCTACATTGTGAGAAAAAAATTTTTTAATAATAATTTTTAATACGAACATTACATAAAATAAAATAAAGTGTATCAACGTTTATAAAATTTCTAATTGCATCTAAAATTTATTTGCATTTAGCTACTTCCCTTTAAAAGAAACTACATTGGGGAGAAAAGAATTTACTTTTTATTACTTTGTTTTGGTTTTTGGAAAGAAAATAATTACATAGCGGGGATTGATTAAGTGCAATGTTGTTGGTATTTTTAATACTGCCTTTTATTTATTCTTATTATCTTATTATTTTTAATCAAAGACAGGTGAAGTAACAAAAGATATCTTTATTCGGGAACA